GCCGCAATCTTAAGAGACAAGGCGTCTTCTGAACCAATCATTTCAATCTCATTTAAAAAAGAAACTATTCTAGGCTAACCGTTCTGAAGTCTCATCTCTTTCTAACGCGGACCCCAAAACCTGTTACGTTTTCTCATATAAGATACTTCTAGAGGAGATCTACAAACTGCTTCAAATGTAAGACAAACTTATATCTTTACCAATGACCGGAAAGATGGGCACTGCTAACTGTTTTGAAACCAAAAACGCTGCCGAGTGTTGCTGTCATGTTGAACCAAGCGAATTAGATAATGCTTGTCGACACAGAGGTTTAGATGAATTGAACACGAAGTGTACGGAACCCACTTAGATTTTCCTTCCTATTCGCCGTTTCGCATACAGCCACAGAATTTGCCACATCTCCCTCTGTACAACCTTTCTCTGCTTGTTTCTGATATAGAGCCCTATCCACATTGACTGGCAACATTGAGACATCCATAAAGTCCTATCTCCTTGCTTTCGTCGCTGGAAATTTCTAGTGCGGCTGGAGCTACGCTTCGTACGCTGTCTATTTGAGGTAAGTATTCTCTACTCTTGAGGTTTTCCACAAGCTCTAACTACTAGTAATAATGAGCACACCATACAGTGTCAGTACATAAATTTTATTACTGAAAGCCAGCCTTAGTGATTGGCAGCAATCAGCTATGTGTTACTTACGGCAAATGTCAAAAAAGAGTCATTGAGATTGTGAGAAGCAAGATAAGACAGTGGCTAGGGCGACCTGCAATCAAGCTGGTCTTTTTTTGCATGTTCTGTTATGCTGCTGAAGTGCAAATTTTGTCGTCGATCTAAAAATTGCATGAGCTGAACCACCAAAATCTGCCACGCCAACCTCCTCCTCCCCTCTCCTTTCCGGTGCTCGCTGGACCCAACGACATCCTTTACTCCGGATCATGCCGCCTACTTCCCGCATGGATGTGAGGTGAGATTTAACAACTTTAATGTTTCCAATGTGGTACTGCTCGGCAAGACTAAATTTGCTTCTCATTGATAAACATTTGCACATTCTGCATCTCCTAGTATTACTCATATAATTTGCTCTGAGTTAAGATGTATCTATCTAGATTTGGTGAGAGGGGTTCCGAACAAGCTTTCACTAACCTAACATAAGGTGTTTACGAGTTTTTCTACTATTGCTTAAAGTAGCTTTATTGGCTGTCTTTGGGGCAATGTCAGTAAAGTCTAAATGCCTCATACAGTCGCAACCGTTACATTTCGTCTTTTTGCATAGAATCATTTGAATTTCTCATAACTCGTATTGAAATCTTGAACAGAACCTTGGACTTAGGT